GTTTTAAAATCAAAAAAAAAAAAAAAATAAAAAAAAAAAAAAAAAAAAAAAAAAACAAGAAACAAAATGACACAATTAAAAACTGGGTTAAAGAGCTAAACAGGGAGTTCTCTAATGAATAGAGATGGCTCAGAAACATCTCAAAAAGTGTTCAACATCATTAGTAATTAGGGAAATGCAAACTAAAACCAACCTAAGGTATCACCTTACCCCAATCAGACTGGTTAGGATCAAGAGAACAAATGATAGCAAATGCTGGTGAGGATGTGGAGAAAGGGGAACATTCACTGCTGGGGGTATTGCAAACTCATGCAACCCCTACGGAAAACAGTGTGGAGAACTCTTAAAAAACTAAAACTGAACCTACCATATGACCCAGTTATACCACTCCTTGGCACATACCCAAAGGACTCATCCTATTGTAGAGACACTTGTACAACCATGTTTGTTACTGCTCTTTTCACAATAGCTAAGAGATGGAAGCAACCTAAGTGTTACTCAACTGAGGAGTGGTTAACAAAAATGTGGTATATTTACACAATGGAGTTCTATTCAGCAGTAAAGAAAGATGAAATAATGAAATTTGTAGGTAAATGGATGGATCTAGAAACTCTTATACTAAGTGAAGTAACGCAGACTCAGAAAAACAAACCACGTATTTTCTCCCTCATTTGTGGATCCTAGCACCAAATCCTTTTAAATTCCATGTTCTTTTAAATATTTTTATTTTATGTGTAGGAGTGTATCGCCTGCATGTATGTGAGTGCACCTGTGTTGTGCAGTGCCACGGAGATCAGAAGAGGGCTTCAGATTCCCCTGGAACTGGAGTTAGGGATGGTTCGTAGCTCCCATGTCAATGCTGGGAATTGAACCCGAGCCTTCTGCAAAAGCAGTCAGTACTCTTAACCATTGAGCCATCTTTCCAGCCCCAATTCCATGTCCTTTTAATAAGATGATGCTGTACAGCAGTCTCTTCTGCATGGAAGCAATATATAGATTCAGTACAATCCCAATCAAAATCCCCATGGCATACTTCACAGAATTAGAAAAAAAAACCAACTTCAGTAGTGCCTGATTGCTAAACATCGTTACAATTTGTCTTGTTGTCAGTTGGGCTCCTTCATTAAAGGAGGGAAAGCCAGGGTCATTGGACCCTCACCAGAGTATCCAGCCACTCTTCCCAGCCAACTGTATGTAATTTGGCCCTTATCATGCATGGTCTCCTGGATTTGAGGAGGACTAGGAAGAGAAGGCTTGACCCATGCTGGATAAAGGCTTTCCCGTGTGCATACCCTCAGGTCATACATACACCTCTGCAACCCCTCAGTTATCTCAGTAAGTAAGCTCAGAAAATTCATTGGTTCCCCAGTAAAACGTCAATCAAACATTGATTTGACACTATAACCCTAAAAGGGAATAAGCATTGCTTAATGTCCCCGGGAAACGAATTCTCACAACAGATGGAAAATGTATTTGTTAATGTTATTATGCCTCATAATTATTAAAAAAGAAAATTAGACTGTAAAAGATGTTAAAAAGGATATGGGAATGGAAATATTTTCCAAAACAGAAAAAATGAGAAAACCTGAGCAAGTGATGAAGGTCTGTTGTAGGTTTGTTATGATATATAAAGGATGAGACAAAAATAATACACAGTCTTAAAATTTCTAAGGTCATAGTTTAGTCAACTAGTTTAACTAAAGAGTAAAGTCATCAGTATACTTCTTTAAGAGTTCAAGGGATTACACTTCTCAGACATTAGGCTTAAGTCCATATAAAAAGTTTAGACAGTTATCTCTCATTGATGATTTTGTTCTGAATCAGAAAGTGCTGCTCAGATGTAAGACTTCAAATCTTGGTCTCCAATACTGTAATGCCCACCTGTAGCTAAGAGGGACAACCTGCTATTCTAAAATGATGGCCAGATTTGTTTTCTCCCCCTGTCTAGAAGCCTTTGAGAGGGAACTGACACTGATTCTAACCACCCCACCAGCTATCAAGATGCCTGAAGGCAAATCTTGAATCCATCACTCTCGAGTCCAGCCTTGGCAGACAAAAGAAAAATGAGGAGGAACCCAATGGAGGGATGCTCTTGGAAGCCCTTGTCAAGAAATTCTAATGGACTCTCATATGAACATTTGAAATTGCCCTGTTCTTTTTTCCTAGTTCCCTAGAACTTGTAATGCTAATTACTCTGCCTTTACTTCTCCTTCACATCTCCTATTTACCAGTCAAGGGCTTTCTTTTCCCCCTACAGAAAAGTTATGCAATTTGGGAGTCTTTTAGATAGACCCACTGAAGGGGTACCCCAGTTGCCTCACCCAATATCCCTGTTCAGCATGGAAGAAGTCAGAGCGGTCTGTGTCCCAATTCCTTATCCACAAGCTGGGTAACCCCTTCACAGAATGGTGTGATAAGAATAGGAGGTAGGAATTGGCTAGGCAGTTAGTATAAAAAGACCCCAAAGAAAAGTAGCCAGTTTCTTGGCTAAACGTCAAAATGTCCTTGGGCCTGTTAGCAACATACTCCATTCCAAAGGCCAAAAATGTTAAAAGTGTTTGGGAGCCCTTATCTAATCCTTAAAGGATTTTAGGGTTACCTTTTCAGAGGGGGAATGTTAGAGTAGCAAAAGGCCCCATTAACAAAAAAAGAGTACATGAGGTTATCAGAAAAAAAGTGATGGGGAGATATGGGAGGAGTTGGAGGGGAGGGAATGAGCATGGATTTGGTCAAAATACCTTATATGCTGTGTGAAATTCTCAAAAATTTTTTAAAAAAAGAATGGGATCTAGCACAAGTGTAAAGAGTTAGTCCCCAAATCCATTACTCCACCTATCAAACCTATACAATGGGAAAACCAAACTAAAGATAATAAATCAGACATGTTTTTCTCATAAGTAGTCATGGTGTTGATGACTTTATGCTTTTAAATCAACTCTCAAGAGTATTTAGTCTAGCAGTTCAGTGAAAGAATGTAATTACAGGGCTGGAGAGATGGCTCAGCCTTTTAGAGCACTGGCTGTTCTTGCAGAAGACCCGGGTTTGAATCCCAGCACCCACATAGCAGCTAACAACTGTCCATAACTCCAGTTCCAGAGGATCCAA